TAGCGATGGACTGAACTGAACTCTGCATTCATTCAACTGATTTCAATGCATTTGGAGAGTTTAAAAATGAAAACTGTTCAGCTTTTTCTGTGCTCTTTGTGGAATGTGACGGTTATCAGGGCCAGATACAGTAAAACTCCAGAAGAAATATCCACGCCGCTGGTAAGCTAAAGATGAAAGTAGTGAAATGTGAAACCAATTAAATTGTTTGTTTCAAATATTCGAAACATTTGACATCTAAGTATTTTTGCATTTAATTCCTAATTGCTTAAACAGATTGTTAAAGTTTAATGTCAAGATGACTACAATGACTATGTTATAAAATAAGTTTCACTAATTACTATGCGTTTAGGTAGCAGCCTGATTACTAAAGTTTTGAAGCAATAGCAATCCTGAGTTTAAAGAGTTCAAAAACACTCAAATTTAAGCTCACTAGAATGTTGTGCTGGAGACACTAAAGTATCTTTTTCAAACTATTGCCAGTGTGTACATTCTTATTTCCATATGAGTTATTGTGTTCGTTTTCATGTTCATCTAGCTAAAACACTTTTTCAAGTTAAAGTCAAAGAAAATGTCACCACTGTTAAGATTTCATCAGGGATTTATTATTTACTGCCAAATATTCTTACCAAAGCAACACATTTTAGACCTGCACTATTCAGTGTCTGTCTTAAAATTAAACAATAAACTTTAAATATATATTTTGGTACTGTGAAACTACTACTTTTATTTATAAATCTTTTTATTTATCCATCCATCAGACCATCCATTTTCGTCTGCTTATCCAGGACCATATCATGGGGGCAGCAGCCTCAGCAGATAGGCTCAGACCTCCCTCTCCCCAGGCACCTGAGAAACATCACAGCAATCCCAGACCAGGCGAGATATATAAACTCACCAGCATGTCTTGAGTTGGAACACCACACAGGAGACGCCCAGGTGGCATCCTTGTCATCCTTTATACATATAATAAGCTTATTTTCCAAGTGTCTAATTGATTTTTAAAATGTCCCTGGTCTAAGAAGAAGTAACCTGCAGGAAGTGGAAGCTGTTCATTTGTAGCCCTCTAGACCATGCTATGGCATGAGTATAATACAGAAAGGATGGAAAAACGGGAAGTTGGGTGTAGATGTATTTTTTTCTTCTCAGTCTGAGAGGATGACCCTCTTGTTTGTTCTCTGCTGCAGTGAGGAGGAGGATTGGCACTGCAATACAGATCATCAGTTGAGGAGGAGAAAGAGGAAAGTGGGAACAGGGAACAAGAGAGGGAGGGGGCTTTGCAGAAAGCTTTTTTTCAAGGGTGAGGTTATGGGGATCCCTGCTGGAATAGAAAAGATTCAGAAAAAAAAAGATCCAGAAAAAGGAAAAGTAAGCAGAGCTTGGCCCAGAAACAAAGAGACAAGCTGGATGCGGATCTAAAGCAGGCTGTGATTTTATGTTGCAACTGATTTCATTAGTGACATTTCTATTGTATTCAGGGATTATACATAATAATTATATATTCCACCCTGAGGAGTAGTCCGCTTTTCTCCCTGTTTAGACCTAGACCAAACAGTATTGTTAGCTGTTAATATAAAGACTTGCTTCTGACTTTATAACTTAAAGTTATTTTCTTATTTACATATGGCTTAATAATGATCCTTATTGCTGTTTTAGAGGAGCGGTGCTTCAAAGGATAGTTGCAGATTTCTGTCAGAATCTGCAGATTATACAGTACAAATAAAATGTTAACGTTTCTCCAATACTGTCTTCCCAACAGTTTCACTGACATCTACACGGGATGGCCAGGAAGCGTTTGCGATGTCTTATCGGGCACTTCTCCGACGCTGATAATTGGCATCTGTCCTGTGTCAGTGACATAAAAGACAGATTTAATGCGACATGACCATTCAAACAGCAGTCTAAAACTTTTAAAACATCAGATATGCATCGGATTCAGTACCACATACAAAAGTGACCCAGATCGGATTTGAAAATATTGGATTTGTGCCGTTCACACTGTGATACCATGATCGGATGTGGGTCGCATAGGGTCATTTGATGCGCTTTCGCCTGCAGTGTGAACGTAGTCTAAGAGGCTCTAATGTAAGTATCCTGTTAATGCTGGTGGTGTCAGTTACACAGGAATGCATTTGTTACTTGGAAATTCTGACACCACTTCACATTTAAAGAAGAAAGGGATGGGCAAAATCTGACTGTGGGATGCAACCAAGCTGCTCTCGGCATCAAAAGACTCCACCTCCAACCTAAAGAAACATCTGGGAGTAAGATGTTTTTTTAAAAACTAACGTTGACCACACATGAACAGGCCCTAAACACCATGGAGATGCGCATGCTCTGATGGAGCTTGGGAATTACAAGACGGGACCGTGTTACGAACAAAGACATACGGAAGCGAATAGGCGTAGCCCCAATTAAGGAAAAGATGCTTGAGTCCCGCCTGAGGTGTTATGGACACGTGATTCGAAACGATGAGAACTCTGTAGAAAAAACGGCTATGATGATCGACCCAGAAGGATGCACCTAACAGGTGGGACCAAATGTTTGGTCACACCTGGTAAGACCAAAGGTGGGGAAAAAAACAGCCAAAGGCTGGACAAAAATCCCATTGATTAAAATGAAAATGTTCATCAACGTCAGAAAAAAATTATTTTGCAAAGTGAATAATCAACAAAAATAAATTGTATTGAAACATTCAACACAATAACTCTTATACAGTTATCTATTTAAAGTTGGTTTTGTCTTTTTACCTTTAAAGACTTTAACTGAAATACATTAAGTCGCAACAAAAGGTTTCTACTTCTGTGTCTGTTACTGTGAGCAACAACGTTCTTCTTCCAAAAAATACACAGCAAAGATACAAGTACAAGGTGTCTTGATGACATTTGATGTGATTTTATCAATATTCTTTGTGCTGATACAGTGTTAGTTCATAACAAGTGAAAAATGGAAACAGACCTAACAACAAACAAAACAAAATCTATCTATTTATTTATTGTTATGGTCGTCATGCACAGGTGACAGTCGCAACATATATGTGACTAACAGAAAATGGTAAAGTTTAGAGAAGAGGCTTCAGATATCCAGCCAGGTAACAAGTAACAGTAGTGAAGTAACAAGGCATTCAGCTAGATTTAAGCATTTCCTTTAGAAAAACACATTTCAGACACAAGCTTCATGCAGGGATGACAATCAAAATGCATCAGTGTTGATAGCAGTTTCCCCGCAGGACAACATGACCTTCACAACTTCACACAAATAACAACCAGTCTCTCCATAAACACAGCATATAGGAAAATGGTTGCATATTATGACATATTATCACACTGAGAGAGGACACACCAGATACCAAGTTGGGATACATACATCTCAGGTTATTATTTAGACAAGTCAAGAGGTACAGTTTTGACATTTTTTGAATGACACACTTTATTTTCTGTGCCTTTAAGTAATTCTTTATCAAATTTGTCATGAAGCCTGACATTTGAAATTTTACTGTAAAGTTTTCATTTAAAGTTTATAGTTGGCACAGTTTTAGTGTTTTCTTCATGCTTGCAGACAACACAGAGCTTACATAATTTACATAATTTCCTAGGGATTAATAAAGTAGTCTGATGCTGATTAAAGTTGCAGAACAATATATGCATGATGCATTCTTTAATAAAGGCAATATGTCTATGTTGGTTCTCAATCATCCAGGTAATGGTAGTCTAGGCAGCGTGGAAAGAAAATTAAATAAGTCCAGTTGCTTTCTTTCCAAGCTAATAGAGACATTTAAATGATGTGAGGAAAAGTTCAGTGAATAAACACCTTCTACAGCTTAGTATGAAAGAATGTACCACATGTACATTCTGTTTTGTCAGTGGAGACCCTTGTTTACAATACAGACAATACAGTTTACAATTTATGTGGACACATGATGTAAAGCTTACACTTCAATTTGTTCAACTGCATGGTCCTGTGTGCTGGAAAGTCCATATTTCTTCAGATATTGGTCAAATTTTGTATAATTAAAAGTTAATTATAGAAATAATTTTACTAGGTAATAGGTGATAATAGGTGTCCCTACCTACCATAGTAATATGCACATCTACCTAAGGTTTGGCCCATCTTTGGCCATATTAGGACTTTCACTAGCTTACAAACAGTAATTAATGAGAAAAAGAGATGAAATCCAAACTGGAAGCTGGCTCCATAGTTGAGGGGCATGAAAGCTGAAGGCTCTGCCTCCCATTCTACTTTTAAATACTCTAAGAACAACAAGTAAGCCCACAGTCTGAAAGCAAAGTGCTCTTGTGGAGTGGTATAATACTATAAGGCCATTAAGATAAGATGGGGCCTGATTATTCAAGACCTTGTATGTGGTGAAAAGGATTTTAAATTTGATTATGGATTTAACAGGCAACCAATGAAGAAAAGCCAATATAGGACAAATATGCTCTCTCTTTCTAATCACTTTAGGTACAGTTCCTTCAGCAGTTTGGATAAACTGAAGGGTTTTAAGGGAGTTTTTAGACATCCTGATACGAACGAATTACAGTAGTCCAGCCTAGAAATATTTTAGAGCTATATTGTGCAAATGGAAGAATGCCGCTACATATTTGTTTAATTTGCGCATTGAAGGACGTATCCTGGTCAAAAATTACTCCAAGGTTCCTCACACACACACACACACACACACACACACACACACACACACACACACACACACACACACACACACACACACACACACACACAGATATATAATTTTTGTATTTTTATATTTTTAATGTTTTTAAAGTTAAGCACCTCGATCAGTCCTTGACCTTCAACAACCATGACCTTCACCTTTAGCACAGTTTAGATGAAAAATCATTAGCGCATTAGTGTGTGTAACTTGGCTTCCTACAAGGAGGGATAGGGATTCTTATGAATTGTTAATGGATGATGGACACTTTGCAATGACACAAATTTTGTCTTTTGGCTAGATAATCTAAAATGTTATTGTGGCCTGGAATTTTTCACTGCTGTGAACACACCTTAATATTAGTGAATGAAAAAAAAAGAGAAAGAAAGAAAAAAAGAAACTAATGAGAGTTGATGAACTGCCCAAACAGAAGTAGTGGTCCAGAGGTGGTGGCTTAAAAGTATCAACAAGTTATGTTGACTGAAAACACAAAAACTTTAACAGAAGTAAACCAGTCTTTGCTAAAGTAAGGTAAAGTAAAAGAATATCTGGCAAGTGATTTTTTTTTTCATAGGAACTGTTTTAAATGACATATTAAATAGTAAATTTTAAAAAATCCAACAAAGATTTAGGGGCCTGAAGGAGGCACTAACTGACATACACATAAATATCTTATTCAATAGCTCTAGTAATCTAAATGAAGAAACATTATTTAAAATCTTTCTGTCAAAATGGTGTCAAATATGAATGAATGCAGCTTCAACTATTTGTGTGATATTAATTACATAAGACCTTAAATTTAATCCTCATTTTAACTTTTTAATATTTTGTACAGTATGTTATGTTATGTTATCTTATTCTATTCTATTTTTTTTTTAATTTTTACTGCTCTTAACTTGTGCTTTCTGCTGTGACCCAAAAATTTCCTACGTGTGGGACTCATAAAGGTTTATCTTATCTTACATGTGGATTGCGTTTTCTTTTTTAATTCGTTTTAAGGCCCCTTGCTGCTCGTGAGGGCATCTACTCATTTTAATAAATCCCTTGAAGCAGGTTGAGCAGGTTTTATGACATAAATGAAACTTCACCTTCAGAGTGTGAACTATCTAAAGACAACAGTTAGCATTTAGGCAGTAAAAGCCTAACTGTGTTACCATTCGGTGTCCAGTACCTCAGCTTCTTTACAAACAAATCAGTAGTTTAATAAGTGTACAATACTTGCCAAAACGTGGTTCTCTGCATGTATTTTAGAAACACATAGGATTCTACAAAAAGTCAAAGACAAAGATTATGACATAAGGTCAGTTAAAACAAGCTCAGAACAACAACATCATATACTTTATAAAAATCCTATCCTTATCTATTTTCTAGAATGAAAAAAGTAACCAGAAACAGAAAAGTTGCCTCCTACACCACCCTAAATACAAGCTACAGTGAGGGCCTTTCTAAGCAAAAGGGAAAAACAAAGTGTTCTATATTGACAATATGGTCAAGATAGCACCAGCATTAGCAAGTTGGCTCTGATCATCTCGTTATAGTAAAAGCTTACCAAGTTAACTTTTGTGGCCCTTGCTTTAAATATGATAGCTGTCTAGAGTATTCTGTACCACTTCACTTTTTTTTGTCTAATTTGCATCTTGAAGTCACCTCACATGCCACAGGTAAAACTACAGCCTTGTGATGCACAAACAATATGTATTCAGATTATTAGTAGGTGGGAATAGGGTGGGAATAAAAAAACGCTTAGGTTTATGTGTGTCAAAGTCAATAATCAAGAGAAGACTTCACCAGTGTGAATACAGAGGGTTCACCACAAGATGTAAACCATTGGTGGGCCCCAAAAACAGGAAGGCCAGATTAGATTTTGCCAAACACCCTCTAAAAATCCTTCACAGTTCTGGAACAACAACATCCTATGGACAGATGACACCAAGATCAAGGAACTGCTCATGATCCTAAGCATACCACCTCATCAGTGAAGCATGGTGGTGGTAGTGTCATGGCGTGGGCATGTATGGCTGCCAGTGGAACGCGTTCTCTTGTATTTGATGATGTGACTGTTGACAAAAGCAGCACAGGTTAAAATATGCCATGCATTTCACTTGCTGAAGACGAAACTGAAGGGAAAATGCCCCAAGAACAAGCAGGAACTGAAGACGGTTGCAGTAGAGGCCTGGCAGAGCATCACCAGAGATGAAACCCAGCGTCTGGTGATGTCTATGTGTGTGCTGTATTTGACTGCAAAGGATTTGCAACCAAGAATTAAAACGTGAAAGTTTGATCTATGATTCTTATTCTGTCCCATTACTTTTGGGAGGCACATATGCAAACCGTTCACCTGATTTGGATATAAATACCCTCAAATAAAAGTTGACAGTCTGCAGTTAAAGCACATCTTGCTCGTATCATTCCATTGAAATCCATTGTGGTGGTGTATAGAGCCAGAAATGTTAGAATTGTGTCGGTGTCCCAATATTTATGGACCTGACTATCTCAAAAAGAAACGTAATGCTGAAAACATAAAAGGTGCTTTTGCTGTCTTTATGTCCCAGGTATCATATGGTATATGATACCATACAGACAGCATAGGATGAGTATGCTGAGTATGATATGACAATGATGAATCATCATTAACCACAATTATCCGAGCCATCTAATTTAATTGAAGCTGTCCTTATCAGAGTCAGGAGATGGTGGCCGAGAGAACTCGAAAAAGGACCCAGATGATTTCCTTGATTTAAGAAGTCGTAGCACCTCTGTAAGCTGTGTCTCCAGCACTGTCATGCGACTGTTCAGATTTCTGATGTCTCCTTTTAATTCTTGTTTGAACTCGAGGATAGACGCTTGCACACTCTGCTCTGGTATTGGACAAAAGACCCTCTTTTCATCAGACTGGACTGGGCTTCGCTCCTGTGGTGTTCTGACACTGCCAACATTATCTAAGCGGAGATCGCTCTTTGTGATGCCACTGTCACATGAATCTGTTTTCCTTAGAGACACCTCGTTGTGACACTTAGTTCTATCAGTCAGCATTTCCATGGACTCAGCCTTGGAGACACTGCTCCACGACTCAGCTTTCACAACTGACTCTTTGAAACGTCCCCACCCTTTAGCTTTGGGTGGCTCTGCAGATTTGCAACCAGTTAGGCTGCCATTTTGGATGCCGGGAACATGAAACATGGCTTGGCTGGATGCCCTGGATGATGAAGATGTGGAGGAACTGGTGGTTGCAGTTTGGTTCTCAGTTACTATGACAATACTAGTAGAGGCAAGCCTCTCTGGACCTCTGGATGGCTCCAGGTGAATAACACCTTTCTCGACATCACCAGTGGCCTGACTACCCCGCTCAACAGCGAGACGGGCTTCCTTCTGCTGCCGGAAACGCTGAAAGAGTCGTCGAACTGGGTGGTCTGGTGGGAGGTTGAGAGGAGCCTCATTCTTCCTTTTCAGCATCTCTTCCTCTTCACGTTTCACATCACTGATCTTCCGAAAGACAATCTGTTAAGAGATAGACCATAGTTATTGCAGCTCAAAGAATCAGTACTGTGGTACTGATACTGATGAATCTTCTTTGTTAGCTTTCCTATCTGGCTTTAAAGGTACTTTATTTATAACGATTTTCCAGTCTTACTGACCACCTAAACCATTTAAATGACACATAAATTCACTCCACTCCCACATCTAAAACACTTACACTGCCACTTTATGCTGCAGTTACTGTGTTGTTTTAACCTATAATGTGTTTAAATTCTTTAGACTTTTCTACTATTATTTATTTATTTATTTATTTTTAGAAATGTAATGGGCAGTAGACTTACCCATTTTCTTTATTTTGCTATTTTCTTGGTTATATTTTGCCAACGAACTGTTTTATACAAGGCAGCTTATAGCTAGAATTGTAAACTCGTTGACTCATTGGGTTGTCTAGAATGATTACTGAACTGAAGCCAGATGACGAAAAGATATCCCGGGTATAGCAAACTTGTTTTATTGTACAGGCCCCATGTATTAAACTGGAAAATTTATTAAAATTCCCCAAGAATTTAGGCTTGTCTTCATACAGTTTTCTTGTCAATGAACAGGAAATGTAAATTATTGAATAGCCTATTTAATATCAGCTTTTGTTATCAACACAAAAAGAAAATTTGTGTTTGGTCAATTATTTATTTGCTGTAACAATGCTTCTTTGTAATAAATTTATTTCCTCTTAAATGATGCCACAGTTGTTGGAAAATGCATTTGTGGCTTCAGCTGCAGAGTTGAAAAATAAAAAAAAACTTGCAAAATATTTTCTGCCAGTGCCACAACAGACTGATCTGTTCGATTATTCTCTCAAACATAAGGATTGTGAAAAGTTACATTCAAGCTGTCAAAGATCACTCAGGTAGGAAGGATGTGTACCAAAGTTCAGTGCATATTAACACTGAATTCAAATGAAGATTCCACAGGGCAGGATTATTTACAAATGGTATTCCAGTTCAGTTTGTGTCTTTGTCCCATAAACAGAGACATACACACAGAGAAAGAGGAGATAGAGAGCACTAAAGGAGAAAGAGCCAGAGAGAAAGTGGTGAGCTGACACAGAGAGGACCATAACAGTATCTACCCCCACCAACAGGACCAGGAGACTGCCAGTGACCCACTGACCTTGTGAGAATGTTGGGATGTCTACAGTACGGTGTACATTTTAGGACATCCTCAGGTCTCAGGAAAAAAGCTGTCAGGTCTCAGACAAAAAGTCATCAGGTCTCAAACAAAAAGTCATCAGGTGTCAGGTCTCAGAAATCAGGTCTCAGAAGTCAGGTATCAGGTCTCAGGTGTCAGGTCTCAGGTGTCGGGTCTCAGAAGTCAGGAGTCAAGTCTCAGAAATCACATGTCAGGAGTCAGGTCTCAGGAATCAAAAGTCAGGAGTCAAGTCTCAGAAATCACATGTCAGGAGTCAGGTCTCAGAAATCACATGTCAGGAGTCAAGTCTCAGAAATCACATGTCAGGAGTCAGGTCTCAGAACACAAGCTATCAGACAGAGAGAAGCCTCCTTCAGGTGGCACTTTTGTCAGGTCCCAGCCAATGACTGTAGAAAACATGGACGACACTACAGCACTTACTCCCATTGCATAAAAATGAAGCCAAAATATCCCGCTTGTAGATGCTGCCATGTTGCACTTTTGGAGCCAGAGTCTGCACAGTAGCGACTTGAGGTGGAGCGCCTGCGTGACGCTCCCGTCCACACACCTGCTGGATGTGACCACGAACAAGTCCCCTACACTTTTTACGTAGCCTGGCTGCTCCAGTTTATCTGCTGATGGGTTTACCGCGACTGACGACTCGTCCAATTAAGGTAAATACAACCATGTCACTATTATCAAAAAACCACACAGCTTATCATCTTATAGTTTTACAGCATCTAAAATCACTCTGTTGTTAATTCGTGTGCTAGATTAGCCGCTAGAATATACAATGTGTTGGAGGCTTGTTGCTAGCTAGTTAGCGATGCTACACACCTGTTACTCTGCAATAGTCTGCAAAGTGATTCAGCACTCCTCAGTTTTAGACAGAGATTAGATCAGCTGCCCAATCCACAGAGGCCCAGGGTTACTGTTAATATTAAAAATGTAATGCTGTCCTTTGAGATTTTAACATAAGACTGAAGATTTAAACACTTTTAGACCAATTACACTGACAGAGCACTCCACAGCCTGCTAACATGGAAACCTTAAATACTACACTCTGATGAGTACAAGTGTATATAAAACTGCTTCATAATTCGATTGATATCCGTTGTTTTATAATGCTTGACATGTTTATTATCAAACAGTGATGGTATAACGTTTGTATCTGTCCTGCCTTTTGCTATTTTTGCTAAGAGACGGCCAGGTTTGTTCCCAGATTCATAATTTATGCTTATCAAAGAAAATTGCTGCCTTTGCTCTTTTAGTCAGTAATTGATTTAAAGCTGAGCGGGCTGCTTCTAACTTCTTAAGTATAGTTTTGGACCTTTTAAACTGCACTTCTAGTTTTTGTATTATGTGCTCTAAACCAAGTTGTTCTTTCATTGAAGCCTTTTTCTGCGCTGTGGTGTATGAGATAATACTACCCCTAAGATAGGCTTTAGCGGTTTCCCACAATAAAGATGGGCTTACATCTTCTGTTTTATTAATGGTCATAAAAACATTCCACTCTTTAGTGATATACTCAATAAATCAGGATTCATCCTCCATCGGAATATGGCTCAACATAAGGTGGGTGAATATTTATACTTACTACTGAATGATCAGATAATGGACAAGAACTTATTGAGCACTCTTCCATCTTGTCCAACACCGTCCTGGATGACAGGAGCAAATCTATTCTTGAGAAACTCTGATGGGGGCAAGAAAAAAAAGTGAAGTCCCTATCTGTGGGGTGAGCTACTCGCCAGGAATCAAAAATTTCTAGATCAGAACAAAACTCTGTCAGTCTAATGCTTTTTGGCGACAAGTCACCCCCTGGTGGAGATTTATCAACCCTAGGATCAGGAACACAATTAAAATCACCTCCCAAAATCAAATATGGAGAAGCTATGGCTGAAACATGGGTTAAGAGATTGGGAAAAAAAGAGACATCTTCTGAATCTGGACCATAAACACATCCTATGAAAATAGATTCTCTAAATAAGAAACCAGATATACGAATGTAGCGTCCTTCCTTATCTTTTATGACTTTTTCTATGGTTAGAGGCAGATTACGATGGATAAGGATGGCTACTCCTCTACTTTTTGTATCATAGGATGAGTAAAAAACCAACCCAACGTGTTCCAAATCATTTAAATGAGTTTCTGACAGTAAGGCAATTTGTGTTTTTCCTTCTTCAAAAATGAAATATTTTTTTGTCTTTTAACAACATTATTCAGCCGTTTAACATTTAAAGAAATTATTTTAAGATCAGTCATATCAGCTCAGCTTTTTTTTTTGTTATAATTTTTTTCCCCTCTCTATTATAACATGATGTGTGGGAAACCATTTCTCGGAGTGCGCTACTGCAAATAAGCAAACTGATGTTTCCATAAAAGGGAATGTGGGTAATTTTAGATGCATTATATAGACACAAACACGAAAAAATAAATAAATAAATAAACAACAGAAACAATAGCCACGCATATTAATGATAAAAAAGGAGAACGACAACCCCTAAAACCCCCCTCCCCCCAAAAAACGATCCTCCAATCCATCAAAAAAGAAAACTGGGTCTCGTGAAACCGAGCAAGAGTCACTGACAGAGAGGCGAAAAGAAAAGAAAAGAGAAATTCCCCTCCAAACTCGCGCATGCCACCGAAAAAGCCAGCCAACCTCATTTATATTTCTTTTTTTTTTTTCTTTTTTTTTGCCTGTCCCGTTTGGCTCTTTTGCCATCAGAATTATTGTCTAAAGGCAAACAAAGATGCCCAACGGATTTACTTTACCAAATTGACCATCCCAGCCTTGCCGTAATGGTCCATTTGATTCACCTTTTATTGTTTATTTTATTTTCACTTACTGAATACGGGACAGACTTGACTGGGGGAAAGAAGGGGAGAAAGAAAGAGGGAAAGAGAAACAGCTGAGAAGAGGGACGGGGGAGAAGGGCAAAAAACAAAAACCAACAGAACGGGCAGAGAAAAAAAATGCATATATCGATCACCTGGATCACCTGCTGAGAAAGAAAAAAGAAAACAAGCAGAAGAGAACAAGAGTAATAGAATAAACAACATCACAATGATATATGGGAATATGACAGTAAATACTAAATGTTAAACATTATTGTGCAGCACATAAGATCAACAGAACACAGTGTGCTTTGAGGTAGGAGCCAAAAAGGGTGTAGTTTGTGGGTGTGATCACCCGTGTGTACACCTGTGAGCATGGACGCGCTTGTTTTTTTAAAAGGTTCCTTCATGTAATGATCTGCTAGAGGGTGTGGGGGGGCCACAGCCCCGTCCTCCAGGGCATGAAGCAGGTATGGAGGAGATCAAAACTCCAGACATCCAGAGGCCCCCAGAACACAAGAGACCAAGGAAGACCAACAGAGGGGCAGCCGCGCCACTGTCCCAGAAAGAGCTGAGGAGAATCCCAGATGAGGGCTCACTCAGCAGCCGCGGAGCAGAAGCCAGGGGGAGTTGCAGTGACGCGCCCGTGAGCTCCGCCGGCAGCCAGCCGTGCCTGAGTGACCGAGCCCCAGGCCGAGAGGCCGGGGGCACCCCACCTCCGAAGTGGCCCGAGCGAGCCCCAGGCTCCAGGCCCTGATAAGCGGCCACCAAGGAATGAGCTGGTGTGTACCTGGACGCCCATCCCCGGACACAAAGAACCACCAACGCACCGATGTCTGAGGGCGTCTGTCACTGGCAGGGGAAGTGGTGGTGGGGGGAGATAGGCCTCCAAACCTTGGAGGGCCTGAGGTGTCCCCAGAGAGGTGGCGTCTGATACCCGACCTGACATATAGACACAGAAATACAGGCACACACAGATACAAACATCCATTCCCACCCTCATGCTCTCATATGCACTTACTCCACCACTCAACCAACGTAGAGACAGACATAAAGAGACGCTGTACACATGATCACACTCCCCAAGCGTACTCTACAAACCGGGTCTAGGTACCCTTGCCCCTGGAGGGGGGAACTGCACCCAGACCCAGGTGGTGTTACCCTTTTCCCTGCGGTGGGGGGAGGCAGACCGCCCCGACTCCGCAGCAGCAGGAAGGCCCCACACTCCAGACCCCAGTCGGACAGCCAACTCCTCCTCCTAGCCCCCCCACTCCAGCAGGTCGCAGAGAACGGGGGTGAGAGAAGACTCCAAACCTCCCTCCACCCGCTCATTGTAATGTTGATGCATGTGTGTTCTAAGGTGCATTTAAAACCCAGGAGGGCTTGGAGCTACCTGCCAGAGAGCAGCAGGTAAGCGCATAGTCCCTCCTGCTAGCCCTCAATGTCTACGTGTATTTAAAATTGAGAGGTGGGCAACGACGCCAGGGGTGGGGTGTACACCCTGATGGTACTTTGGATTCCGTGTATCGTGCCCACCCCCAAGATCCTATATGTATGTGTAATGAGAGTGTGAGTAATGCGAATGTCTAAGTTGTGGGATAAAATTGAGGCAGAGGCAGCCAGAAGGGGACAGGGGGGTGGCCTCCCCTGCACCCTGGTGACATACCCCTACTCCAAGGTCCTGCATGTGTGGGTGGTTGTGGTGGAGCGGGAAGAGGGAGGCAGCTGGAGATGGGGAGCGAAGGAAGGGAGGGGCAAGTGACCCCTCCCTGGGGCCAGCTCCCCCGCTGTCCCCAGTAGGCACCCCCATACTCCACGGCCCGCCAGGGAAAGGGGGCCCAGGCCCATCCAGACCGGGGCCCAGTGCAGCAGCGCCTCCTGGCCCCACAGATCCCGGGACAGTCCACCTCATTTATGTTTCTAAGTTGAACTCGTTTTACTTTATAAAGTCCGTAAGAAAAGACAAATAAGAAAGGAGGGGACAATAGAGTCATTCCTTAATAAATGGACAACTTCCAGTTCCAATACACCTTAGCCTGGGCTGGGTATCCTTAAATTAAGAGTATGTCTAATATTTAAGTGCCGTAATAGAACTAATCATATTCAATCAATTGCTGTTGGTGTACTTCAATTTAACTCAAATTGTGTACTAATAGAGATGGGAAGATGCGGGAATTTCTAGAGAAGGTGTCTGTTGTATCGTTATCAGAAAGTCACAGGAAAGAGTTAAATAACCCTGTGACAGACGAGGAAGTGCGACTTGCTATTAACTCCCTTAAAGGAGGAAAAGCACCTGATGGTTTCTGCCCAGAGTTTTATAAAACACTAAGTCATCTTCTTGCAGGACCATTGACTGATATGTTTTTAGACTCTTTTAAGAATGAACAATTGCCCTCAACACTTAGACAGGTTAATATTTTGTTAATTTTAAAGAAAAATAAATCACCAGATAGGTGTGAATCATACAGACATACAGCCTCATCAATGTCGATGCTAAATTACCCTCCAAGCTATTAGTAAGGAGGCTTGAGGGCATTCTCCCACTGCTTATAAACCCTGATCAAACAGGCTTTATCCAAAATCGTTTCTCATCTACAAATATTAGACGACTATTAAATATTATACAATACTCGAATCAGACAAATTATAAAGACTATGTTATATCTTTAGATGCCGAAAAGGCATTTGACAGAATCGAGTGGACATATTTATTTAATGTATTAGAAAGATTTGGCTTAGGTGAGGGTTTTATTGCATGGATTAAAACTATCTACTGTATAGGAATTTCTTTTACTTACGTATTAATCACATTATTTTATTGTATAATCCCTTGGTGCCACTGGATTTTAACATGTCTGACACTCATACTGAAAGACAAATGGCGGGGGGGTCTAGCAAGGAAGCAGACAACTCCACAGGAAGAGTCTTTTGTCTCTTCGAGGACTCTGGGAGGTAGCAAGGGAGTCTGAACCTTAAGGTGTGAAACAGCTGTGTACTGCCTTTTGTTCCTGGAGAAGGTATTTAACTGAGAGCCATGCTAGGCTCAGGGAGACTCTGCTGACCGTCTGTCCCGCGGACATGCAGGGACTTCATCTAGCTTGGTTGTCTGTTGTCTTTGTGTGTTTTGATTAAAGAATGATAGCTACCGCTCACCGCTTGTCTGCAGGCTTTATTTAAATGGAAAACTTCCACAACACTACAAACTTCCAGAAGCTTGTGTCATAACTAATGGTGTACAATCATCAGCGTTTCCACTGCAAAGAGGTACGAGGCAAGGCTGTCCCCTGTCCCCTTACCTCTTTGCATTAGCACTTGAACCTCTAGCTGACACCATTCGCCAGCACCGAGATGTGCATGGTATAACAGTGGGTGGAACAAATCATAAGATAGCATTGTATGCTGACGATATTTTGCTGTTCTTATCAAAACCAGAACAATCAACACCAGCTATTATGTCTACTATACATGAGTTCAGCTCATTCTCTGGTTACAGAATTAATTTTGGGAAATCAGAAGTCATGGGTGATCAGATTAACTCTTTGCCAGATATTTCTAATCCCTTTCAATGGTCCCCCAGCGGCTTTACATACCTTGGGCTAAACATTCCACCAGTTCTTAAAGATTTATGGAAACTGAACTTATCACCAGTTATAATAAAAATCAAAAAAGATTTAGATAGATGGCAAAAATTGCCACTTTCTCTTATTGGGCGTGTGAACTTAATCAAAATGAGTATTCTCCCGGGTTTATTATATCCCCTACAAATGCTACCTTTACTGATCAAGAAAGTTTCTTGTGATATAGAAAAAGCTTTTTCAAAATTTATCTGGTGTAGCAAGAAACCTAGATTAAGGATTGGAACTTTAAAACTGCCTATAGATAGGGGAGGCTTAGGCTTACCAAATTTAATTTATTATAATTGGGCATGTCGTAGCCGTGTCTTATGGGAGTGGCTACATGCTTATCTAAATTCTCACTCTCACCTAGACTCTTGGTCCACTTTACCTTATTCCCTTTGGAGCATAGCTGTCTGTGACAAAAAACCAATATTACAAATGGGGATTAAGAATAACCCAATCATTTATAGATGCTTTTCATTCTTAAAGTCTTATATGTTGAATTGAACTATGTGATCTGTTCAAAGCCTCCCAGTCAGTGCTGTTCAAAGGTGATCATTTAGGACTTCAGCAATAATACAGACAGCAATGTAGTTAGCAATAAAACAGTTTTATTGGGAATTAACTTAAAAAACAAACAAACAAACATATGTCTCCTATTTTTTGTCACACAGGAAAGAAGCATCAATATCTGATGAGAAGACTCATTTATTTCTTTTGGGGGGGGTCAACAGGAGAAGAATATCTCTAACAGTTGATTTGTTCACATTTTCACATCTTAATTTTTAAGTGAAATGTGCATTTGGAGTTTATACACTTTGTATATAAGGCACCCGTTTCCTTTTGCAGTATTTTTGTGTGTTGCGTTTTTAACAAAAGGGGAACAAAGCCCAACATCAGTAACCCTACAAATGTCACTTCTGTTTAGTTTTCTGTCTTCATTTATGTCGGAAGTGATAGCAGTGCTGTACGTTTTCATTTTTCAGAAATCTCTCAATCAGAACATGGTATTGTGGGAGTGGCTAGTTATCTCCGATCATGCCTTAGGAACATGTGTTGATGAGGAAGATGAGGAAACTGTGTTATTTACATCTGTTATTGTTACGTGAATCTTAACTGTACCTGTTAATTTTACAGTGTAAATTTACTGGCAGTTATTGTTCGATGGAAATAGATGTTTATACCATGAGTGAGTTCATGTGCTTGGTCATTAAGGCTCTGAAGCATCATGTAATGCAGTGAGTATCTCACAAAAGGAGTTCCCCCTTCTTCTTTTTGGGGTGGAATAGCTAGCTCAACCTCTACGTGGGCTTTTTATAGTAAAGACGCTTCACCCCACCACAGTATATTATTAATTTGGAAATTGTTTTGAGAGATTTCCTGTATACCACTAGAGGGAACTCAAGTACCACAGTTTAAGAACCACTGCTGTAAAGAAGGCCTGAAATTCATCCAAAATGATGTGAGAGTTTTAATTTCACATACAGTTATTGCTGCTTAAGGTGCTTTTACAATGTACTGAATCACGTGGTAAATTAAATTTTTCTTAGGACTGTATAAAGTCCCGTGAAAAGGTTTTTTTTGGCATGACTTAAAATACATGTAATAGATACTAAATATACATCAGTAAAGCAAACTCACCCTCTTCCTCAGGTTGTAAGTAAGCACCAGGTTCTTGGCAAAGTGGTTTGCAAAGTTGGCGTAAAACTCCAGAACTTTTTGCAGCGCATCTCTTTTGATTATATGGAGGTCACAGTAGGTCAATGCTCGGACATTAGCGCAGGACTGAGCCAGTGTCATCTCCTTCCAGAACACGTCACCAAACACATCACCTTTACCTGCAAAACAAACACAGTTAGGTCCACAAATATTTCAACAGATACAACTTTTTTCTAATTTTGGTTCTGTACATTACAATGAATTTTAAGTGAAACAACTCAGATGCAGTTGAAGTGTAAAATGTCTGTGAAGGTTCTCACAGACATGTGAAAACTTCAAGTATTTTTTTAACACAATCCCTTCATTTCAGGAACTCAAAGGTAACTGGACAAATTAAATGACTAAAAAAAATAAAATGTTCAATTCTGATACTTGGTTGAAAACCCTTTGCTACCAATGAAAGCCTGACATCACCAGATTTCCTCCTTTTCCATGCTCTGCCAGACCTCTACTGCCGCGGCTTTCAGTTGCTGTTGGTTTGTCGGTCTTTCTTTCCAAATTTTAGTCCTGAAGTAAAATGAATGCACATTTGGGTAAAGATCAGGTGACTGACTTGGCCTTTCAGGAATATTGCACTTCTTTGCTTTAAGAAACTCCTGGGTGGCTGGGTTATGTTTTAGGTCATTGTCCTTCTGTATGAAAGGCCACCCAAACAATTTAAATGCATTTAGCTGGAATTGCTGTCCTGTGTCACATCATCAATAAACACAAGTGTCCCACTTCCACTGGTAGCCATGCATGCCCAAGCCTTACCCTGGCTCCACCTTGTTTTACAGATGATGTGGTATGCCTTAGATCATGAGCTGTTCCATGTCTCCATACTTTTTTCCTTTTGGTAGAAGTTGATCTTGATTTCATCTTTCCAAAGAATGTTTTTCCACAACTGTGCTGGCTTTTTTTTTTTAAATTATGAGTGGCTTGCGCTTTGCAGTGAACCCTCTGTTTTTACTTTGTTGGAGTCTTCTCTTTATGGTAGGTGGATATTGGTGTGCCTACCTCCTGGAGAGTGTTGTTCACTTGGTTGACTGTTATAAAGGGGTTTCTCGTCACCATGGAAATTATTCTGCGAGCATGCACTACTGTTGTCTTCTGTGGACATTCAGGTCTTTTTGCATTCACCAATACTTTCTTTCTTTTTTTTTCAGGATGTACCAAAGGGTAGATTTTGCCACTCCCACTATTGTAGCAAATTCTCAAATGTTACTCAAAGAGTATTATACAGAATAGACACTTGTATTAAGTTATAAAAAACACAAGTTTAGAGAACAATGTTTAGAACACAGATAAAAAACAAAACACACATAAACTTAACATCAGTACCTGCTTATATAAATACCTAAATGTGTGAGTCAACAGGAAGTTAATATTAATAACCAACGGCAATGACAACATGCTGCTTTCTAGTTTTCACAGTAAGAGACACATAAAAACGACATAACACTGAAATACAGTACAGGAAAATTTTTTAAGGGAATTGCCAGTTAAAATTTAAATTTTCTTTGCAGCACAATTCAACCAAAAATAAAAACACTACATGTAAATGTACACAAAAGAAATTTCCTTCATGAAACTAAATGAATTCTACCACAATAACTGATTTGATTTACAGCCTAAAGGGCCTGTAATTTGAACTCAGTGGTTCTTCTTAAATAATAATGTATAAAATGTGCTTGATTTTCTGTAGCTTTTAACAGTTTGTGTTTACACTGGAGTGAATGATGAAATAACTGCACCTTAATTACTTTAATACAGACAAGCGCACTGGAGTTCTTAGGTTCGATCTTTTTGGCCATAGGGTATATGCTGCTTCATCCAAAGAGCTATGATTTCCGAAAACAATAATTTCAGTCTTGTTTTCATTTAGGGTTTAACTGTCATGTAGACAGATAAACAGAGGCTGCAGTGTGACAGAGGCATCCCATTTCATCAGGAAGTAAATTTGGATATCAATAGCATAACAGTGAGAGGGAATATTATATTTCCTGAAAATCGTTCCCAAAGGCAGCATGTGTAAAGATAACATAGCGGACCACACCAGACCCCTGTGGTACATCACAACTAATAGGGACAGAAGAAGAGGAGTACTCCCCAGTTGCAACAGAAAAAGACCTCTCTGCCAGGATTTAAACTGTAATAAAACTGTACCTTTAAAACCAACAGCATGTTTGTGTCTTGATAAAAGAATGTTATAATCAACTGTGTCAAAGGCAGCGGTTAGACTGAAACTCTCCACAAATCCCAGAAAGTTCTCACAAAGTGCAGAGGATGTTCACATGAACAGCACCACAGGGGTTAAACAAAAAATTCAAAATATTAAAAAGAACTCGGGGCTGGTGACTGTTGCTAGAAATTATGTTTGACAGAAAAGCTGATTTAATAGCTTTAACAGTCAAGTGATATATTGATGAGTATTGTATCAAAGGTCAGCTTAGAGTTATTGCTTTTGTTAATCAAGGGCTTTCCAGAAGTCAAATCTAGTATCCAGCCTGAATTGGTGTTCCTCATTTCAAAATGCTCGGTTACATTGAGTGTCGGTTTAGATCACTGGGATGAGCTCTCAGCCATATGGCCATGTGACTGGGATCATACCTTTATGTGAAAGAATGGAGGGGGGCAGACATTTCAAACACAGCATTTATAGTTGTACAGGCCAGGTACACAGAAATACAGGGGAGTTGGATTTAAATGAAAAGTTAGGAAAAAAATGAAAAACCAAGCGAAAATGTTAAATGAGAAGCATCTGGCTGCATCTTAAACATATTGGAGAACTGCAAAGCTGAGTGCAGAATTTATAGCATAAGGAGCTGGCTAAAGTGATGCCGGTTTTTATTTTGAAAACTAAAAGCTAACACTAACCTTGTTTCAGAGAACAAACATGGCTTACCCACAATTTCTTCATTGTCTTATCCTGAAATAAAGGATAAACAAAGATCTGATCCAACTATCAGAGAAGTCATAGCACAGATTGTACTGGAAGAAACACCTCACCCCACCTCCAGCAAAGAGCTCCCTGATTTCCCATTTTTGCTGTGGGAGTTAAATCGCTTAGAACTACACAACAAGGTAAAATAATAAGGCAAGATGCAGGACCAAGTGACCTATCAATTGGTTCTCCCTGAAGAGTTCAGAGCCTTAGTGGTTCACAATTTGCACATGGACCAACTGGGTATTCCCAGAACCCTTTTTAGAACTAGGTTTTATTGGCCGCTGAAGAAAGAGTCCTCTTGAAAAAGCAGCTGCTCTGGTAAACATTAAACTTCTCAACCATTAGAACTTGTCCATGTGAACTTTTTCAATCTAGAACCAGACAGCAGTAACCCAAAGAACATCCTTGTAATGACACATCATTTCACTAAATAGGCAGTTACCATGCCTAGACCCAACCAGAAAGTTAAGACTGTTGTTTGGGGGATAACTTTATTGTCCACTATGGTGCCACATACTGATCAAGGGCCTGATTTCGAATTCACACTCACAGTATACACAAAATCTCAGGTCAACTTCAGAGAAAAGTTGCAATCTAGCTTCTTGAAATGCACAAAAAGCAGCAGATAAAAAAAGGCCCATTTGACCGAAGGGTAACATCTTAGTGAGAAATGTACGTTTACATGGCAAACACAAATTAGTGAGAAACTGAGATCCATGTTGTAAATGGTAAATGGCCTGTATTTGTATAGCGCTTTACTTAGTCCCTATGGACCCCAAAGCGCTTTACACTACATTCAGTCATTCACCCATTCACACTCTCACATTCACACACTGGTGATGGCAAGCTACATTGTAGCCACAGCTGCCCTGGGGCGCACTGACAGAGGCGAGGCTGCCCGACACTGGCACCACCGGGCCCTCTGGCCACCACCAGTAGGCAACAGGTGAAGTGTCTTGGCCAAGGACACAACGACCGCGACTGTCCGAGCCGGGGCTCGAACCGGCAACCTTACGATTACAAGATGAATTGCCAACTCTTGAGCCACGATCACCCACTCCAGTAGTTAAACCTGCTGGAGACCTCCCTGTCACTATGTCACCCACACGTGACATACTGATCTCCTGCTTCCCTATGGTTTTCCAGCTGTCAATCACTAGTTTTTATATAAATAACCAATGTGAATAAAGGGTTTCCAAAATCAGGGTAAGTTATTGTTTCAATGATTACGACAGCCCAGTAGAAATAGAGAACCATATTTTATTCGATTTTGTTTTCCTTAATATTGTTATTATATTATAATGTTATATAATATTATTATATAATAAGAAGAATAACACCTTTGGATTACAAGATAATTTATTAATTTGTATATTGTCTAAGTTGACAATTTCTTGGTTTAAACGGTTTTATTGGAATGAGGGAGGAGACTTCATCTGCTCCTTCCTAGCACTCATGGTCAGCCAGAGCAGGTAGAAAATGCAACGCATGCAACACGAGAACTGAGAATTAAGTTCGCAAAAGAAGGAGAAAGAAAACCAAGCATTTTGTATCTCTAAAAGTATGCATTGTGAGCAGGACGGCAGCCAGGAGCAGGGTTCCAGGAGCCTGAGTTAGTGCGTGAGCGGTACCGGCTAGATATAGTCGGGCTTACGTCAATGCATGGCTTGGGCTCTGGAACCAGTCTTCTGGAGAGGGACTGGACTCTCAGTCTGGAGTTGCCCCTGGTGAGAGGCGGTGGGTTGGGGTGGGTATCTGGGTATCCCTTTGGCTTGCTGCCTGTATATTGGGGTTTCTCCCAGTGGATGAGAAGGTTTTCTCCCTACTGGGAGACTTCAAACCTCACGTGGGCAACGACAGCGAGACCTGGAGGGGAATGATTGAGCGGTGTATTGTTTTTGGACATAGCAAACACCATGTTCAAACATAAGAGTGTCCATAAGTGGACGTGTGCAGTGTTGGGGAGTAACGGAATACATGTACCGCCGTTACGTATTTAGAATACAAAATATGAGTAACTGTATTCTGTTACAGTTACCGTTTAAAAAGGTGGTATTCAGAATACAGTTTGTTGAAATAAATGGATTACACTGCGGTACTTTCCTGTTTCATTTTGTCGCGGGTCAGGACTGTTTGGGTTTTGTTTGACAGCTACGTTCTTTCGTTCCAGGCGGCAGCGTTACGGTTGCCATG